CCTTACATGGTTGCCATGGTTGCCCTTCTGTTTATTCTCCGCTGTGGCTCTTTTTCTCCCTCCCCGAGGCATGCGTTTGCTCCTCCTGCTTTAAAACAAATCAATAATGACTCTATATAATCATATCTAAGGGATAATGCGCAGCGACGCGGTCATTATGGGAAAAAGAACACTGACAGGCTGATCAGGATCCCGACTCGAAGCGGAGGNATGCCAAAGGAACTTGCAAATGAATATGTGTCGCCGTTTGATGTCTATGTCTGGACTGCTGTGTAAAAAGGAGGGTTTCTGCCCATACTTCTTTTCTTACTTCTATAAGAATAAAACACGGAGGACGGAGATCTCTTTTTTTCCCCCTCTTCTGACAGCCCAGCAGCTGATCTCAAAGCACCCTCCCCTCTCCTGCAGGGGGGCGTGGTCAGCTGCATCTCACAGAATCAGCCCCCTGCAAAAACAGCGCTGGAAAGACCAAATAGAGCGAAATGAGGCATGGCTAAAATGCAGGATCTGTTTGGTATTTTGAAAGAAAAACTATATTTATATACTTTATGTATGGCCCTACAATATATTGTTCAAATATAGCATGATATGTCCCCTTTAAGCACAGTGGCGATCTGTTATTAGCATCTGGTTAGCTAGCTATGCTAACAAATTTAAAGAGCTTTTCTACAACCAGGTGGAAGAGAGCTCTCTCCTGAGAGGCTCAAATAACCTCAGCTCAGTGAGGTTAAGGCACACCTTGATATATCATTATAGTTATTAATGAGACATTAGAGACTAAATGAAAAACAGGTATAAAATACTATATGACAGTAACAAAAAAGTTGTTAAAAATAACAAGAATACAGTTTTATTACAGTACAGTGATTTGTAAAATATCTAAAAAGAAAAATCTGCTTACAGTTCGGTTTTCATATGGGTGTTGAAAGATGTATCCACAGATCTCTTCATTTTGCTCTAAAAGTGCACCAGATTGATGCTTTTAACTTCAATATTTTAAAACAAATCTTCAAGGGGGGACATGCCCCCTAGAGGAGGTTAGGTCCCCCCCCCACACACTTAAATCATGTCCACATGGATAGGATACTAAATACAATTGCACACATCTTGTGTACATATATTTCTGTTGTGGTGCTCATGCCACAACCGTGCACGTGCATGCCAGATATCTGGATTAAGAGGTTGCTTTTTCTTTGCACAGAATGAAAGAAAGGCGAAATGAATGGGCTGTGATTTTAGTTTTTTTAAGCAGAGGTTGAGTGCAATAATGTGTACGGCCCTCGGAGGATGTTGTAAAAATTGAAAGGAAAAAGGTTCCCCACCCCTGCTGTAGATAATAATAAAAACCCTTGATTTTTAACTTAACATCTCTGTCTCCAATTGATCTGAGTATGTTATAAAGAATAGCCAGTTAATTGAAGCATTATAGCACAGGGTATATGGTATATTACGCTGTTTTTTTTCTGCTTCGAATAGTTCTCTCTTTTTTCATCATACCTGTGTTTGCATCCCTGTAAATAAAAATGATTAAACTACATAAAATAGTTATGATTTTACTTAAAATAAAATTAGCTTTATAAAACGGACAAGTCAAAACAAGCAATCTGATTGGTTCTTAGCCGTGATATACTGAGCGTATACCACGGGTAGAATTGTAAATTACTTTTCACAACATGTCAGTATCCCTCCGCGCCTGAGGCAAACATTATACAGTTGGGTTGAAAAGCAAACTGCATGCAGTTTGCTTTTCAGACTGGAACAAGAAAGCAGCGGAGAAGTAACGGGG